TAAATAATTCGGCATCCATTAGAACCACGCTCGAACACGCTAAAAACTAGGGTACGGTTAACGATCTTATCTCTCAAAACTTAAATAACTAATCGGATCGATCACAAATTAAAAGGAGTTCCGAAACTTAACTGTGGCACTCAGATAAATGGAAGTGAATCAAGACATGTTGTTGATCCCAATTCTTTTGCTCATCGGCGACGCGTCTAAGATCCTTTCATTGAGTTTGTCCTCTTCTCGAAAGTGGATCCTCGTGATGACAATGTCCCCTGTGCTCAAAGTTTGGGACGCAACATCCGCTTTCTTTGTTTCATTGAGATCTTTGCATTTTACGTCATCGAATGTAGGGTTATGGCATTTGCAAGTGCAATTTTTTCTATCGCTATCTAAATTTAATATCTGACTGAGATTAGACCAGTCCTTGTTTTTGAGCAGTGGCAGTGTTTGTTCCATAGTCTGGGAGAATTTGTCTTCTAACTCCCCACTCAGTGGCGCAACAGCCGACAATATCGCCTCTAAACGGTTTATCTTCTCCACTTTATCCATGTTTGTGTCTGATAAAATCTCATCCATCATTTGCATAGATTCCGTGAGGCTAGGAGGCTGTGTCGAGTGTGGGGAAGAAATAGAATCGGAGGGATTTGATTCCAAACTTGCCATTTCATTCTCCTTTTCATCATCTTCAGAATCTGAATCCTTTTCCTGTCCAATAGCTTCAAGCTTCTCTAATTTCTTCGAAATCTTGTGGCATCCCTTAAGCTTTTCTTTTTCTTCCTCAGTGAGTTCTAAATATCTCAATAATCGAATCTCCCTATTGCTCAAGACAATATTTTTTGTGGACTCAGACAGCTTCATTTTCAACTCGCCAACTTCAGTGTTGATTTTTCTCTGCCTTTTACGGAGTTTGACTTCTGTTGGTTGGATATGCATAAATACCTGCTCATTGCTCAATTCCTCAAGAAGCTGTTGATTGTCAGGCTTTATGTTTGAAGACATGTAAGCATAAATAGCGGGATTCACTAAAGATAGGACATCAGATGCAGCATAGATTATCATGTCTTTAGTAAGAGGACGCCTAGCCCAATATCTCTGGTCTCTACGATAGACATTTTTGAGTTGTTCCTTCATAGGATTCATTGGAGCATTATACAACTCACATAAAGCATTTAGACTTAAATTCTTAACCTTGTAAACAGGAACACCTTGCTGCTGCAACTGCAACACAGCATGGGCTGCTTGCGTATCAAATACATTCTTCAATGTAATCTCAAATTGATTTTGTAAATTGACTGAGTCATTCCTACAATCATGTATAATTTTAATAACATTCTCACTCTCAAGTAATTCTTTTATTTTACCTTCCACAACCATAGATGGGCACGCCATAATATCAAGTATGTAAACTTCTCCATTCATGGTAGCAATCTGACACAATGTAAGAACACCTTTTAAACCTAGGTTTATTCCCTCACAGTCAAATGAAACAATGCTTTTTCCATTGCGTTTCACATTCATAATACTATCAATCAATGTGGAACATTCTCTAGCACTGGCTATCACTGTTGTGCACTGAAGCACTTTCTGACGCCAAGCCTCTCCCATGATGTTGTTCCTCAAACTTGGAGTACCGTTAATTTCCTCAGGGCGGGCATTCAAATGATTATTAACCCTGTCCCTTACCATGTTTTCAGCTAGATTTTTAATTACAATGGAATTTATTCTTTGTTTTAAAGTTTGATTTGCAATATTTGCTTGTGGACCACGTGGAGATTCTGTAGGACTGAGTATTCTGTTTGCAGGGCTCTTCTTGCCATCAGACGGAGTTGGACTAGCCACTGTGAGGGGAACAGGCGAAACTGGTGTCTCATCCACAATTGGCTTTGGTGCATCAGTCTTAGCTTTAACATTTTTAGCATTTAGATACATAACAGGTATTTTTGGCTTGCTGATTAGAGTGACCAGGTTTGACTGAACATGAAAACTGTCAGAGAATATTTTGAGAAAAGCGCTCAAATCAGCTGGAGATTTGAACATTTGATACCAGTACTCTTGTGGGAAACGGGAGACGATCAAATGGAAGAGCTGGTCAACCATAACTGGACCTTTAGCCTCTATACATTGTGCGACATAGTCCAGCAACTGCTGTGCCGTATCTGTGTTTATATTAGCTACAGGAAGATTGTGAAACTGCTCTGAGTTACTACACGTGTTTCCGCGCCTGTGATTCTCACTGACTAGAATGACGTTGTCGTCTACGATTTGGAAGGTGTCTGGGTGCTTCAACAGAAAATCCTTAAACTCTTTTATGCGCTGTCCAGAGATGTGACGTACCTGCGGGGAGGCCTGACTGCGGTGACCGAGGAGACTCTTGATGGGTACCTCGGTTCCCTCACCGTACTGGATCATCTTACTGGCGAAGTATTCCTTGGCCTCTTCGATGTAGTCGTTGTTGGAAGAAGGCCCTAGCCCGCTAGCGTGTTTCTGGAACGTGTTGATATCAACATAGTCCCCGTCTATGCTGAACAACGCCGGGTACTGCGCGAGGAACTTTTTCAACCCCGATTGTGACCCGCCAGCAATTTGTCGCATCTCTTTCGTGAATCCTTTGGCACCAAACTGGCAGGAAAGATCGTGCAGCGTCCGCGGCTCGCCTTTATCGAGCAGGCGTTCCACGAAGAACAACAGAGTAAGATTCCTTGCGAGCTCATATTCCATTGATTCCATCTCCCTGCAGTTGGTGCCAATGTGATTTTCTTACACTAATTTTTTCTACGTATATGTGTCACCCACAACACCATGAAATTTTTTCTCTCTCGGACAGTGCCAAAGAGTATAGAGGAAAGTGAAGGAAGTATTTCAGTGTTGTCAAACTATAACATGGATTTCCCTATTTATATTGGCAAACTGTAATAATGCCGCAAATCAAATATTTTATGGTGTTGCTGTGGAACTTGGACTAAACTGTGAAGTACATAAAAAAAAAGAAGAATAAGAAAATTTTATCGACACGAACTAGGACGTAATCAACGGATTTTTATGAGCTTGCTAAGAACTTCTCTCCATTGTTCTGTGAAGAATGTTTGCTATTTATTGTCTGTGCTAATAATAACATGGAAACTGCACGATGTTTGTTGTATGTGTGTTGGCCATGTAATTAAAAATTCAACAATGAAAGTAGGTTCTTCAGAAAAAGGTTTTGTCATTTTATCTAACCTTAGGGCATGTATTCTCATGTTTACATTTTCTAATTTAATGTTGCAAGACTCGAAAACTCCGCCATAATTTTTCCATTAAAGACGTCTTTCTATTTAAAACATTGATTTCTACATTGGTGATTTATTAGTAAACTGTCGTGTCATGGCAACATTATATCCATAAACTTCCAACCTACTTTTTTAAAGGTCGTTCACCCACGTGTTTGTGAACGCCCACCATTGTTATTGGTTACTTTTACAAACTACACCGACTTAGTCAATATTGTGACTTTTTTTTTAAATGCACATAACATTGTTGGTGTAGTCACAAATTGTTTTAACTGTGGCTGCGATTCGTGTCCGGTCCACAGATAAACAATCTGATTTGTCAAAATGGTTGTTGTCAAAAAGTGTCAACTCGGGAGAATAGCAGTTTCTGAACCTAATTAAATGATTAAATGAGTATTTTAATGTTTTAGTAAAGTTTTGCTTATGATAGGAAGAGATTAACTCGGTATTTTTTTATCTATAAAGTGAATTCCATTTCTAAAATTTATTCCACTGTGTAAAATTGTCCACAATGGTAAGTGATTCAATGATCTTCATATGAATCAATATAACGTGTTTTATTGTAGCTTCCTTTCATCATACACAACCATATCTATATATTTACAGTACGCTAACTAGAAACTCATATTTGAACTGTGATTTTGTGGTATTTGTTAGTAATTCTGCTACTTATGCTAAGTACGGGTATCCTCCCCCTTGGTTCCTTTGCATTATGTTTTAGTTCTATTTAGAGAAGATAAGTGCTCAACAGCGGAAGGTATGTGGGTTGATGCGGTACAATATGTTCTAATGTTACATGCCGAGGGATTCACATGTTTACACATAACAGTTACTATTTTAACTTAATAACTTTTTACTGTCTTTGAACAGTTTAACACCTTCGTTGCTGACTAGAATTTTCGAAAATGTTCAAAATATGACATTTGCTTATATGACTGTTCTTGGCCTCTTTTGTTACTTATACAAAATAATTTTTTCGCGATGTTTCATTATTTGGCTCTAGTTTGGGATTATATTTACTGCTCGTCATTTCAACCCGGTGCGGCCTAAATGCAGTAATTATGACGTTTAGGCCACGTCAGTCGCAATAGCTTGCAGAGTATATACACATCAATCGATGTTTACCTAAAACTGACATGTATTTTGATTTGAGATTAAAATTAAATACATAGCATTTGCCACCAGTGGCGTGAACCAGCATCGCAAAGTTAGGTTAGTCGTGCCGGTCCTTTTAACGCCCCCATGGCCCAATAGGTAGATGAGATCATTTGATCATGAGGTCATTTTGACCCACCACGTAGATTAATGTGTTAAGTGTTTTTTAATTTACTCTAAACTTTACTGAGAGTCACCCGCCACCCCTGCACACTCCCTCTCTCCCTATTACGACGTCAGCTATTCTAAAGTCCTTTATTATTATTAATAAATTTCTGTTTTAACTTTCCAGCTGGTTTTAGTCCTCGGAGATCTGCACATCCCTCACCGCTGCAGCAGTCTTCCTCCTAAGTTCAAGAAACTGCTTCTCCCTGGTCGAATACAGCACATACTGTGCACAGGGAACCTTTGTACCAAGGAGAGTTACGATTATTTGAAGACCTTGGCTAGTGATGTGCATGTTGTTAGGGGGGATTTTGATGAGGTAAATATAAACCTGTTCATTGAGCACTGTGAGCAAAGGTTTCTAGGCATGTACTCAAATCACACAATTTGCAAAAGGAATCTGCAGATGGATGGAATTCTCTGCTATTCCTCAACTGACATGCATGAACTTCATTATTTTTATATAAAAAAACTGACCTCAAGTTTGTGGAATTACATGTATTTGCCAAGTTTTATTGATATTGTATACCAGAAAGTGCGTGAAACTGGATTCATACCCTAGTTGGCCACCCTTAGAGGTGGAATATTTTCTTAAAATTTATATGAGACCAATAATAAGGTACCCCTCTTTCCAACAAAAAAGAATCACCAAAATCAATTCACAAATAAGTAATTGCATAACATACATACAAAAAATACAGTCGAATTGAGAACTCCTCCTTCTTTGAAGTCGGTTAAAAACTAGCATAAAGCATACAATCTAAATCATACGGTCTTTATGAAGCCGAATGATGAAATTTTCAATTTCGATCTGTAACCTGTGATAATTGAAGTTAACTCACCATACATTCTAAAGACACATGGTGTCCCTACGGGCGCCTTCAGTAGCTTATAGAAACGCTGCAGTGGTGTAACTATGGCGCGGCAGTCGCGCGTTACGCCTTACTTCACTAATTGTTATGGTATAAGCGTCAGCGTGTCGCGACAGTGGCTAGTTGGAAATTAATATATGCATTAGTGGGGCAGCCGTTCTATATCTAATGTAATTTGAATGTGCCTTAACAATTTTGATAAAAAACTTCTAAAATTTATTGGAGGATAAAAACACGGTGCTCCATAAAGACAACTTGTGGCTCTGTGACACTACAGTACTAAAATCATTAGGGACACTGTATGTCTCTGGGACGCATCACCAGTTAAAGGGCACTATAGAAATAAGAAAAGATAATCTAGATAGAGACACAGTACGTAGCTATGCAAAAAATATGACAACTTTTAGTGTAATGTACTTATGCATGTGTGAAAATCTTGGGTGAGTTTAAATTGTAAAATGATTGTACATCTATTCCAGAACTCAACATACCCAGAACAAAAAGTGATAACCGTTGGTCAATTTCGTATAGGCCTAGTCCACGGTCATCAAGTGGTGCCTTGGGGTGACGAAGAGTCATTGGCATTAGTCCAACGACAACTCGATGTAGACATTTTGATATCGGGACATACGCATCGATTTGAGGCATATGAACATGAGAACAAGTTTTATATTAATCCTGGATCTGCGACCGGAGCTTATAGCCCTTTGTACAGGTAAGAATTATTTTGTTTAATGGTATATTATTTTTCTTAACAAGAAAGAAAGAAAAACTACCTTCAGATACATTATCTGGCTGTGGGGAAGCTGGGTATTCTGTTTATTTATTCACTCACAGCAGTAGACAGCTGAGCTGGCACTAAACAATGTATGGTTGCCTCGAAGAAATTGCTACTCAGCAATAAGGCCGTCTGTTGTACAGTCGATGCTCTAAGGCTGCTAACAGACTGCCTGCATGCCTCGACTGCATGAAGTTGATAACGACTTCACACATTAACTGCAAACTTGCAGTCAATCTGTTAGCAGCATAAGTTGTCTGATCCTCTCTGATGTTTTAAGTAGATCAGTGAAAGTATGAAACAAACTTAACATTTGACCTATGAGTTGTAAAATTAATTTTGGTATGTCTTTCTTATTGCATCACTAATGAATGTCTTTTTAAGAAATTTTTTAAGCCGAATTGATCTTTAATTATATTACATAAATACAATATTTCATTCATTCATTCAATATATATGAACAATTTGTGAAATCGTCTGCCACATTATTACAATGGCAATAAAGGCAATAAGTTAATACCACATCTCCCTGCGTTGCCATAAATAGTGATGTGGTTTGGGGTTTTTACCTATCCAATATATTTAAAATTTAAAGAGCATTATACCTTTGTCTTCAGGAATCCAACTCCCTCTTTCGTGCTAATGGACATCCAGAGCTCTACAGTGGTCACATATGTGTACAAGTTGCTTGGGGATGAAGTTAAAGTGGAAAGGATCGAGTATAAGAAAGCTTAATGTATGTATCATTGTGGTATAAACAACTTGTTAAGTTATAAGGGATTATGTAAGGATATGGTCAGCTCCTCTGTAAGCAAATAAAAGAAGCATTTCGTATTATATTTTCAAGCAGCTGCGCTGTTGAAGAAGAAATTGTGTCTTTAAGTATAAATAAAGTACAAAATGCTTTTTAATCTCGCTGCTTCTATTTGAAATGGGAGGGCACTGTATTATAAAAGACTTTGAAATTGATTCTATTTTCGTGTGGTATGCCAAAAACCTGTACCAGTGTTCGTAATAATTTTACATTGTGCAGTATGGATATCGTAATTACTTATTGTCATTGCAAAAAAATGATGTAAAAACGTACAGGGGCTCTACCCAAAGGGCTTGCTATTTAAAAGAAATTTAAATTTTAAAGATCATATCAAGAAGTAAATTCCCACAAACATTACTAGGAATTTGGATAAACAAAACAGGATTTTTTATTGAAAGGATCTTTGTTTTTTTATTGATAATCTACAACATATTGAACTACAGACCAGTAGGGTCTAGCATGGTAGGGCATGACTTGCGCAAGAGCATAAAGCGCGAGATACTGCTATACTCGCATAGAGAATAGCAATATCTTGCGCTCCTATATTCGTCTAAAGTCGTCGAAATATAAGAGGCCCGTTTGGACAGCTGTTATTGTGACGTAAATAGGGATGTAACAAAACAAATCGTTAATCTGAAATTCCGATTCTCACGAAAAATCGATTCTAAATTACATGAAACTTTGGTTTTGTTTTTAAGTTACCTAGGTATATGAAGTGATACAACGGAACACAATAACTATGGGTTCTGCAGCAAAAATAAAACAAAAAGATTCATAAATATGTTTTTTTATTGACTTTCGTCAGAAGAAGAATCCGTTGAACTGTCGGCGCCTGTATATATAATTATTTCATTATCAATCATATTGTCAATATTGACGTCCCTGTCAAAATCGGCCTTTATTATATTTTTCGTTTTTTGCACTACTTTTGCCCAGTCTTCATTTGTGATATTTGCACAAGCTTCCTTCAATAAACCCATCATTTTTTTTGTGGAGAACGGTCGCTCTGTATTTTTTCGTGCCGCGTAGCCTGTAAAAAGATTAAATTCATATGGTTATTCTGTAAAAAAATGCCTTGTTATACATAATTTATGTCTATTTTAGTAACGTTAAAAACCAGTACCTAGGTAAGTACATTTTCTAAATTGTTGTATTCGAATTTTCTCCACCTGGCTTTCACTGTTCAATAAATAAGTAATAATAATACGTTTACATAATAGAATGAATAAGAAAAAAACTAACCTTTAACTTGAGCCCAAATTAACTCAATGGCATTGTATTGACAATGGTATGGCGGTGTTCTGATAATGGTATGTCCATGCTCTAGTGCCAGTTCGTCAATTTCGTATCTCATTGTTGCTGGTTTATTTTCTTTAACCAATTGTAATAACTCCGCCTTTAATGAGTTTATGTCGGCTTCAATGCCATTTCTTTGCAACCATGCCACTAAATCAGATTTTTTATTTGCCTGAGTGGGTGGCTTATCAATTTGTAGCGAATGGTACGGTGCATTGTCCATAATTATGGTAGATTTATTGGGGAGGTTGGGAAGTAAAGATGTTGTAAACCACTCTTTAAATTTAATAGCGTTCATTTCTTCGTGGTATTCTTTTGTGCTCTTCGATTCGAATGCAAGCAAAGCATTGTTCACAAAACCTCCCCCAGCTGATCCAGCATGACAAATTATCAATCGCCCACCTTTTCCCATCGGCACATTAGAGCATGATGCTTTTGTGTCATCAGTCCACGATTGCGGCACTGTATGATTGGAATTCAACCATGTCTCATCGATAAAAATGACATTATCCCAATCAGTCACTTTATTCATTTTTCTCAAAAATGTAACTCTTTGCAGTACTAAATCATATCTTTCCATAATTATCTTTCTTGTGTCGCTCTTCTTGTATTTGAAACCAATTTGTTTCATAACTGTGATTAGAGATGCGGAACTGCCTGTAAACAAGCCAGCTTCTTGCAGCGATATCAATAGTGTACTCACAGTAGGGTATTTTTTTCTTGAGTAATAACCATAAATATGGTTCCGAATAGCGTCTGCGTCGAATGTGTCAATACCTGTTACAGGCTTGCTTTTTTTCCGCCTTTTAGGCGTACGTAAAACGTTGTCTTCACTGCCGGAAGGCCCATACTTTTCTTTTAAGATTGTCCGTATGGTTTTTAAACCGATTCCAAGCGCATCTCCGACGCGATTCTGTACTTGAGCTACCGGCAATAACGGTCCACCATTTTGCGATTCACGTTGAAAGTAATCGTGCAACTTCACAATCAACTCACGCGATTGACTATTAAGAGTATGGCCTCTTTTCAACATTTTGAAAAGGAGTTCACACGACACCAAAATCCACTACAAACTACAGAATGAAGTCCGAAACAATATGCTCAATCAACGTCCAAAAAATAGTAGCCAAGGTCAACGTGATAGCAAGAGAATCAGTCCAAAATCAAAACAAAGTCGCAACAAAAATACCGAACCGCACTGTCAGCTTCCAAAATGGTGAATGAATGGGACTCAACGGGAACGCGACGGCCGAACGACAGGCTAAATAGTGTTGCCATGAAAAAAAAAGGTTATCTATGAGTGCTAAAAAAAATATTCCATTATACATTTTGTAGGTAAAAGATCGACTAAATTCAATGCATTATGAATGATTATAGATTGTTTAGGTAGAAAGATGTTGTAAACGATTCTTTAAAAATTTTTGCGACGTGAATTATGATATTATTTTGTGCTCTTCCATTTGATTCGATTCGATTTTAGACGGGATTGGATAAACGCGGTGACAATTTACGATTAAATTGTTACAGCACTAGTGTTTAAAAAAAAAAAGACTGAGAACGTAACTGTTTTTGATGCGTTTCGTGGCAATGAAAAATACATTTTACTTTGGAATTTACTTAAACAAAAAAATAAAAGGAGACATATTCTTGCATATAATTTAACGCTCGAATTAGAAGTGTGATTTTGTAATCCAAAAAAGAAGGATTGTTTTTAAAATGTTTTGTTTATCTCAAACGTAATGTTTTTTGGTTACATTCTATTATCATAACGAGCTGTCAAAACGGGCCTATTATATTTCGACGATTATAGCTAGCCCTACTGATTTAGGCAAAATTATACCCAGATATAAGTTAGAGATTCTAGCAAACTATTTACGATCTAGGCGGCCCAACGGCTTAGACTGTGAGTGTTGGATGAGGTGGTCCCAGGTTCAATTCCCGGTAGGACCAAATCGAAGTGAACTTTTCTTGAACTTGGTATGGTCTGGGTGTTCTGGGAAGTATCCCGGAGTGAATTCCGTTGCTCTGGAACACATTTTACTGGGAATTCCTTATTTTGAGACCAGAAAAAATACAGCAATGCCGTTATGTTAGTGGTACAAAAATTTTTCACAAGTACCACCTGGAATCATAATTTCGAATGTATCATGGTGGTACTAGTGGGAGCAAAGTCTTATTAGTACCACTATGCACTAGTGGTACTTGACAGTGGTAGTCCACTACATGTAACAAAAGGTTCCGCTAAATGTAGTTCAATTACTAATAGCTATAGTTAAATATAACTTGTTGCATTTGAAAAAAGAAAATGTACGAGGTGGGTGGGTAACAGCAACTCTTTTTTTTAAGTTTCTTAAAATATGTTTACTAAATAAAAAAAAATACAAAATTGTACAGTTAGTCAATTTGCACAGACACATCTGTATGTGGCAATTTGTTAATAAAATATCACTCATGTATAATGTACTCTATGTATTTGTATATAAGCTATGTATATGTCGTCACGGCGTGTAATAAAGTATAGTACTTGTTTTACTTTGTCTATTATCTTTTCACATTACAACGTCAACAACAACCATATCAATTCTTATACGTTCCACTGCTCGGGTTGTACGTGCTCGGAAACACAGTCGCAGGCAGGGCATTTCATTCCAGGGCTGTGCGCATAATAAAGATGACGTAAAGTGCTTAGTACGCCTGAAGTGAAGGCCTACTGTAATTAACGCATCGAGTATATAACAAGAAATAGAGACGAGATGTCATTTAATTTGTTTGAAAACTATTCTGCCATATCATTACTGTGACAACTGCGCTCCGATTGGCCAGACCGAGTTCGAAACAATTGACGGGTGTCGTCAACTGTTTCACTTCAAATCGACCAGTTAATTTGAGCTTTGCTATAATGGACGAAAATTGCAAAATTACATATTCAATATTTAATTACCGATGAAATATGATTCCGTTTGTTTTGTAATTAGATGTTTTGCTATTTTTCCCACACCACCGCACAGTGTCTCGTCTAGTACAGGCTAGCGGGACAAAATTATTTTTTGCGTTATTTTGATTGTTTATGAATATTGCAGGTATATTATGCTATTTTAGGCTAAAAAAAGTGGAAACCTGTGTACTGTAATGTGTAGACCCTACAACGGTTATGGCCTCACCACCTGACACGTAAGGTTACCAATTACGCGGTGAAATGTGGGTGATAGCTCTATAATTAGGTGCCTCTGCCTTCTTCACATACCTGTAAGCCACGAGTGTATTATTTTTTATTATATAAAAGTATTAGGATATAGAAAAATAAAAAATAAATTGAAAAAATCATAAATGTTTATTACACGTTACCAATGACGTGTTCGGAAGGTATTTATTTACAATTTTTATATTTATACAATTAAATTAATCAACGAACAATACAATAACAACAAAAATTATATTTCAGTATATAAATGTGCATTATATAACTAAAACACCTATAGTAAAATACTCTACAACTACATATTAAAACTAGATATAATAATTAATTACAATAATAAACAAGATCTAATTTATCTAATCTAAATGTAAAGACATTACAAAAATATTTAATGCTCATCTCCAGATGATTCCTCATCATTACTCTCCAATCCGGTAGAGTCTGACAACACGTAATCCTCCTCATCAACATCGCGAACTGTTGATAACTGGGTTGGTAAGGAAGGTGGGATAATCAACTGCAGAACCTCCGCTGGCAAAGCAGTAATCTTCTTTCTAGGTAACTCTCTAGATGTGTTGATTACAGGATCGGACGTAATTAGGAGCATTCTCAAAAGATCTGCATTCGTGGCAATACGTGACCGCTTCCTAGGGTCGTATTCTAGAACTCTATTCAATGCTCAAGTCAGGATTGCACTGGAAACACAAGCACTGGAAATACGACCCTAATGGCAGGGACTTGAGTATGATTTCGAGTGCTTTAAACCATACTCAAATCCTGACTTGAGCATTGAGTAGAGTTTTGGAATACGACCCTTAGTGTGTCGCTCACGGAATCTACGGCAATCTTTATTTCTTGCCTCCTGGGCTTCTTCGGAAAGCTGACCAATAGGAAGAAGGCAAGATTTAATTACTTCCGTACTGTGTACAAGAATCTTATGCACAGTAACGGGCATGGAGTACCACGAATACAGACCAAGGTATAATTTTCTCGTTTCAACGCAAAATTTTTCGAA